AAGAAACTAATACCTGGCCAACAGTGCTTTATTCATTAACCAATAAGAGAAATATATTTACAGACTGACATCTCCCATCAATTAGGTATATCTTGCCATGCAGATCACTCTTGTGATTCATAGGCTGGATAGCTGGGTAGGACTATTATATGCTTTCCTCCATTGACAGCATGAATAGAACCTTGTGGTAATATGAGAGTTAGTCTCAACTAGGAAGCTTTGGAGTCAAATCCAACTTGATTCCTCCAAGTCCTGTGTCTGAAGTGCATGGTGGCTTCAGCAATAAAGACTATCTTCAAGTTCTGGGGGCAACCGAGGGCAACCATAATAGCTTATATTGTTTTTGGAGTTTCTTGGACTCCACTGACCAACAGAAAAGGAGGTTTGGTGTGGGATTTCAATCCATTTAGCCAATGATTATCAGGGCAGAAAGCCATGCTTTAGGGATTGCCTGCCTACATGACAACCTAAAAGCTGAAAAACAGGGTTGTGCACTCTCTTGCTCTTGTACTCTCTACAGATAAAAATCCCACAACAGAGGTTTCTTATGCCTGGTATGGGAAGTTTCTTAGCTAGTCTTGGCTCTTGGCACTATCACTCCAAGTGGTATAACTTCATTTAAATTATATACATACATATATATATATATATATATATATATATATATAATTTGAGAAAAATATGAAATAATATGGTTCCCTATGACTTTTACAAACATCTTTAATCTTGAGTATCCCTCGTCCCTCCATCAAATTCCATGTTGATATCATCTCCCCTCACCAGTGAGGGGATGATTCCTTTATAACAACATCTTGTCTTATATCTGGCCAAATCATTGGGCCAAATGATTTTTCACTTCATATAATCTGAATCCTGCTATTCTTTACTCTAATACTCCTCTCCCTAATCCAGAGTCCCTTTTTACTTTTTTGATTTCTATAGTTGGTTACTCCAGGGTAGATACTATAATTGGAGCAAGGAATCACAAATGAGAGAGAAGATGTAAAGTTTATATTTCTAGGTCTGTGTTACCTCACTCAATATATATTTCTGGTTCCATCCACTAGCTGGAAAACTTCATTATTTCCTTTATCTTTACAACTGAATAATACTCTACTATCTATATGAGCCACATTTTCATTACCCATTTTTTTGGATGAAGGAATTCCTAGTTATTTCAAATATAATGGCTATGAACATAACTGAGCAAGTATCTATAGAGTAGGGCATCAGTTCTTTGGTCAAATGTCAAGGAGTGGTATATCTGGATCATATGATAATACATATTTAATTTTTAGAGAATTTGCCACAATGAATTCCTGGGTGGCTGAACTAGCTTGCAATCCCACCAACAGTAAATGAGGGTTCCCCTCTCCCCACATTATTACCGGGAATTGTTATCAGTTATGTTTAGTTGATCTTAGCTATTCTGACAGAGGTAAGGTGAAAACTCAGAACTGTTTTAATTTCCATTTTCTTAGCTGATAAGGATGATAAGCACTTTGAGATATTTCTTAGTGTTTTTTATTCCATCTACTTGGAATTCGCTTTTTAGATCCTCAGCTCATTTTTAATTAGGTCTTTTTAACTCTTTGTTTTATTAATTCTTTATAGAATCTGGATAATAATTATCTGTCAGATGTATAGCTGGCGAAGATTCTCTCCCATTCTGTGATCTACCCAGCTTGGGTGCTGGGAACTGAATTCATGATCTCTGGAAGAACAACAAGTGATCTTAAGGGCTGTGTGATTTCTTTAATCCCAATGATTTTTAATTTTGTGAGTCCACTTTCCTGGCTCTCAGGACCCAATGATTTGGCCAAGCATCAGCCAAGATGTTGTTATAAAGGTATCATCAACCAAAGATTAGCATGTGAGTCAGTGCATGTTGAATAAAGTATATTATCTTTCTTTGAATGGGTAGACATCATAGAATCAATTGAAGACCTTACAGGAAAATAGATTGAAACCCTCTAACAAAGAAAATTGTCTCCCCATTGTAAAGCTAAAAGATGGCATTAGCTACTTCCTTTTTCTCTCTCTCCCATTATATCATTCATATATATATATATATATATATATATATATATATATGTATGTATATGTATGTATATGATATATATAGACATTATTGTGAAAAGAGAGGCATGATGATGGGGGAAGTCTTTGTGTATATATGTATTTCTTTTATTGCTTGGTGAATAAAACACTATCTGGCCAATGAGGCAGGCAGATAGGTGAGACCAGGATGAGAAGAATTCTGGGGAAGGTAGATAAATAGGGCCCACCAGACCAGTTGCAATGTGGAGCCCTGGAGGGTAGGACACACCAGGCATTCCCTGGTAAGGTAAGGTCGTGTAGAAATACATAGATTAATAGAAATGGGTTAATAATTAAAACACGGATCACCAGTAAGAAGCCCTAGCCATGGGCCAAAAGTTTTATACTTAATATAAGTCTTTGCATGTGTTTATTTTGGGGATTAAGGGGGTACCTGCTTGGATAAAGAACCCCCCTATTACAGAGGGAGAGATACATCAGTATCCCTGGAGCTTAGTTACAAGAATTATCTTCAGCATTGACTCAAGATGATGACTTTTAACTTCTTTCCTACACCTTCAGGAAATCACACCCTGATGTCCTTAAACTGTTTGAGAGAACTAAATGTTATGAATCTCTGCTGTTACCACACCCGGGATACCTTGGTTGGGTATTCACAGGAGTAAAGATTTATTTTGTCTCATGGTATTAGAAGTATTGATCTGTGGTCACTTAGCCCTATTGCTTTTGGGTCTGTTGCAAGAATTTCACGACAGGGAATATATATCAGAAGAGGCCATTTGCGTAATGCCTAGTGGGTGTGGGGAGCAAACACAGAGAAATAGAGACAGAGAGCAAAAAGAGAGAAGGAAGAGGAGGAAGAAGACAAATAATGGGAAGATCCGTGTCCCAGCATCTTCTTTGAGATCATGCTGCCACTGACTTGGCATTCTTCTAGTAGACCCCTCTTCCTAAATATCCCACTGCTCTTCAAGAGCACCACAGCACTGTCAGCTATCAACCAAGCCTTCCCCTACAAGAATCTTTGGCACCTAGAAGAGTGAAGTTATAACAAAGGTCTGTGTGATGAAAACAGTCTGAGCTCCTGCACAGCCAGGGATGGATTCCGGGTCGAAGTCTTTTCTGAGCTATTATGACCTCTTCAGTGTGTTCAGGATAAAAGACAAGAAGTGTCTTTATTTTTCTGCAGTGTTGTATAACTATTTCATATGAACTAAAACATTCTCTGTGGGATGGAGGCTCATTAAGACTTGAGAAATAAATTAAACGCAGAAGTCTTACAAAAGCTCCTGAAACTTACAAGATTCATAATGCCTCTCTATGGTTATATAAGCACTAACAATTTCTGGGAAAAAGAGGCTTTCTGACTAGTCAAGCTGCCTCAGTGTCATACAGAGAGGTTCAAGGATAAAGTGTTAATGAGCTGTCTCCCATCTTCAGGTGGGCTTTTCATGATATAGCTGCCTTTGAGTACTCCTAAAACTAAGCTTCTTCCCATGTAACCCTAGCAAACTCACTGTTTCACTAAGCTAGACATGGGGAGAATTATTCCCTTGCTCTGTCATCCATGCCTTATCTGATGCATAGTGTTTGTCCCAGACTCCTAGGAAACCCATATAACAAATACCCATCATTACATTACATACTTTTACATGTCATACATACCCTTGTATTGTGATGCCTATCATCTGATTATTGCTATGTGTTATCTTTGGTGGGAAATACAAAATCTCTCTCTAATATAAAAAATAACATCAACCTGATATCTGCCTTTGTTCTTCTGAAAATTGTATGTATGAATTGATGATTTTTTTTTAAAGTGTAAGCAATGCATGATATATTTTAACCAATAAAACATTTGGCCAGATATTTGTAAAGCTTAGCTTAAGTGTCTGTGAGGAAGTGCTGCAAAAGAGGGGTCATAAAGAGTTTAAGATAAGAGCATGAGGAGGAGTGATGCAAAACACATCTCCAGAACATAATGGCCATGAAGTCTCTGCAGCTGTGGTGAGTTACACAAGATACGCCCAAAGTCAGGCCCATCAACACATAAACACTTTATCAGAAATGGGGAAGGGGCTCCAAAGAAGACTCCCTTCCTGTGGAACTGTATTAACAAACAGTGACCAGGGGAACAGGTGACACCATCTTCAGTAGTGTGACCGCTAATTTAGTTACCCATGCACTAGTGAATAAGCTCTCACCCACATTTATTCATTCAAGCAGCCCATGCGTAAACTCAGCAAGTCACAAAGTGGAGATCAGTGTAGGAGAAGGAATTATGGGGAAGAAGTTTCCATGGTAAAGAGAGGTGAATGCAGGAGAATAATGGGCGGGGCAGGGGTGAAAATGACCAGAAATCATTATGTACATGTAAAGTGTTGAAGAATTATTTTTAGAAAAATAAAGAAAATTGGGAAAATGTTTCCTGAAGAAGAAAACTCCTCCCCTCAGTTAATTAACTAATAGTGTATTCCATTTTCAAAGAGTTCAAAGTGTTGTGTCCATTTATTATGATTAATGTAGAATTTTTAGCTAAAATTCATACTACTATATTTAGGCATGCAGAAAATTAATATTTAGAAGTCAAGATAAACTAGGAACCCTTGACCTGATTTGCAATGGTAACTCATTCATAATCTCACTAATATAGAAAACCCCAACATATCTATAAACTTCTCTGCTAACTCAATCATGTCACTCAGTACTCAATGAGGTCTCGAAAATAAAAAAAAAAAAAAAATCTAGAAAAGCACTGGAATAAATGCGTCTTTTCACATGACTACTCTACTCTGAGGTTCACAAGTTCACGGGATAGGGTTAAAGATCTGCCATCTGGTGGACCTGCTTTGCAGATGCGCACAGCTGAGACGCAAACTGTCTGCCCCGTCACCCTGCCCCTGCTCTTCTTTATCTATCCCCAAGGCCTCCCCAATGCCCTCTGTCTATGGAGAGGCAAACTTTCCAGTAAATAAAATATTGCCAGAATTATCCTGGATAAGGAACAGGAAGGGAGAATCTGCTGTGAATTGAACTGTGACGGGGAGTCGTTTTACAGCAATACTCTCCCCAGTGGCTGCTGCTGCCTCAGTGCCTTCTTCGTTGACATCCACATATGACTTGTGAACAACCTTGGATAGATAGAGGCCCTTGTCTGGTGACATTCCAGAGAGATCAGCTGTGGCCACGCTGAAGATGTTCCTCATCCCTAGGGACTTCAGTAGGGAGTTTAGGTCATATTTTACTGCAAGATTGAATTTGGGGATATGGACATCCACTTCTCTTTCCACCATGTTAGAAGAGTTGGTCCACTCTTGAAGCATCTTCACATTCAGGTGTTTTACTATCTAAGAGTCAAAATACAGATGCACACACGTGAGCCAATTCCATCGTGAGCCAATTCCATAACTTCCGAGACAAGCTGTGGTTTCTGTTATCCCCACTGTGAATGGTGCAGCTTTATGCTGGCTTTTCAACCTCTAATTCTCATAAACTTCCTATCTATGCACTTAGCCATACTTCTGCTTTCTGTTTCCTATGTCTCCTCTATATTCTCCCACTGACTTCCTCGGTGTACACTCTTGAATTCCCTCAGCATTTAGCCTTTGCCTAAACTTGGCTGCTTATTGCCCTTGGCATCATTGTGTTTCTGCTTCCTAAATCAATCCAACCATTTCTTCTTGGCTCTCACATCTGAAACTTGGAGTCACATTTTTATGAACTTAGTTTTCATTTGGAATCTAAAATGCCGGATCCCATTCTGTCCCCTCAGTTTCCCTGATGCCCTTTACTCGGTTATGTTTCTCCAAGTTTAACATGGTACATGCTTGCCTAATGCCTTTGTGCCTCTTTCTGACTGGCATTTCAATTCCCACATATGTTCCTAGGTTTCCTAAATGGTCCCAGCAACTGACTTCTCATCATAAAATCAAGCTTCATTATTTTTGTCTGTCATTTAAATACTAACCTTGGATATTTAATGCCCCATAGTCAACTTTCAATAGTAGTACATACTGTGTCATTTTTATTATTATCTTACTCCAAAGTTAAAAAATATTTCATTACCTTCCCATTCTCATAATTCAAAATAAGGTAAAGATAGATTTTCTGTCAAAGTACCCTTTTGTCATTTTCATTTGCTAGCTCTAACCCAAGTTACCTTATAATAAAAACAAACAGATCTTACCTGCCTCACACTTAGCAAACACACATACGCTCCTTGTTCCCCCTGGATCAAGAGAGTCTTCCCACTTTACCTGTCCATCTTCTATACATCTAGGGAATCTCACGTGGAGATAATTCTCTGAGAACACCACCCCCAGCTTCTGTATTCTAATTCATACCTTTCATATTTGCACATGACTTTATGCGCAGATTAAACTGCTTTCAAATTACTGACTTCAACATCCTCTACCCCAGCTGACTGCAAACTCCCAGGGTCTTAATCCCCTCTGAATAGGCCACACCTGTAATCAGCTCTATTCCCGGAGTCACAGGCTATGCTTTCACTCCAACCCCCTCTGAACTGGATTCCACCTCATTTCCTAATCCAAATGCATACAGCCAAACCCAGCTCTTTCCAGAGTCTCTCTCCCCTCCCCACACACCCATGCCAATTGTTTATAAGGCTAGAGTGCCCTGACTTAAACACTAGTGACTTGATAACTCTGACTGTGGCCATCCTATTGCAGCTGGTCTAAGAAACTTCATTTTATGGAGTGGTTTGTGGTGCTAGCTAGGTGGTGGCTAGGTTGAAGTTAGATGGCATCGTCACTTCTAAGTCTCTCTGGGATTAAACAAAACAAAACAAAACCAACAACAACAACAACAAAACCCTTTGGCTACAACCAGAGTGAAGAGACTGAACCCGGACTCCTTTCCTTCCTGGTTGTGGTGCTATTTCCTTACAAAATCAGGTTATTAAAAATGGTCAGCCTGTGAGGGTATCCTCTGATTAGATCAGAAAGCTTCCCCTTAGCAAGGGTTCAGTAGATCTCTAGGGCCCATGAATCTGATCAGCACGACATTTTATTATTGTAGAAAGAGCCACTGAGTGTCTCATGAGCGATTTGTATGTGCATTTATATTGTATAACATAATGAACCTGCATGACGTTTCCAGTGAATGAAGTGCTTATCCTGTCTGAACTGTAGTCCTACAGGGCAGGGATCATCCTTAATCTCCAATTCCTGGGGAAAAACCACTAACCTCATCACTGACCATACAGACTTCACAGAGCACATAGAGTATGTGTGTAAGAGTGTACGTTCGTGCACACACAGGCACACATCCACATGCACTCACTCACACATGCATTAGCTGCAAGGTAACATTGTTGGACTTTTACCTGGTTTACACTGGCTGTGCCTACTGGAAGCAGGATGATCATTCTTAGTTTGTTGTTGGCATAAGGCAGCTCAAGGACTTGCATCTGTGGCTCCTTTATGAAGGCCAGCTTAAATGTTCCATTCTGATACATCATGTCCACAACTGCACTTTTACCCTAGTTTTAAAAGATTATAATTGAACAGTGGATATGTATGTATGCTTTATTTTTATAACATGAATACCTGTGTTGACACTGCAAAGTATAAGCTATTGGCTATAATGCTCTTTTACTACTTTTCTTTGCACAGATTATCAATTTTGTAATCCTAAAATAAGTCAAACTTAGAGAAGTATAACAATGTAGAGATAATTTCGGTCTTTAATTACAACACCAGAGTCTCTAGCTAAAATGGGAAGTCAAATGAGAGGCTTATTATCTCTGTAAAGCCATGTGGATACTGTCCAGGACAACAGTTTTATTGGCTATCACAGGAAGTAACCATGGTGTGAACCTTGAGGCTTCATGGGTAGAACATTAGGAAGAGAAGAGGTCTTTACTCTTTCAGTGAGTGAGACAAGTTACTGCCACTTTGAGATATAAAAGCCTTCAGCAATCTACAGCGATATTTTCCTGAAATCTTTTCGAATTGTCCTTAAATTATTATTGCATTTTCCAAGACTTGTCATCAGTCTGAAATACTTACCACACTTATGTGAAAGGGAGCTTTCACTGTCTCACTTTTCTCGAATTTATTTTTCCATTGTCCCTTGAAATATATGGCACTTACTAGGACCATTATAGAGGAAGGATCAATTGTACCCTTGCCAAATAAGTTTGTGACTTTTCCTTGTAGTAAAACAAACAAACAAAAAAGAGGTGATTTTATTAGGATTATCTTGTTGATAATAAATATTTGCAAAAGGTTTTTCAACAGTAATTTAACATTTGATGTGCCAGAAGAATTCCAATTCCTGGACATAGAGTCATCCCTGCCATAGGAACTTTTCATCTTGGAAGTAATACCATATGGATGACTCACTTTGTCCTCTACCTATTCACATCTAACACATTGTTGTCCATTATTACTTTAGAAAAATTCTTTATTAACTTCCTTAGCTTATCTTGAAAAGATCCACCAGGTTAACAAGATAGCAGTTCTCAATCTGTGGGTTGAGACCCCTTTGGGGTTTGCATATCAGATATCCTGCATGCCAGATATTTATTTTTCAATTCATAACAGCAGCAAAATTACAAAGTAGAAACAGAATAATTTTCATGGTTGGGGTCAGGGATATGAAGAAGTGTTTTAAAGGGTCGAAGCATCAGGAAGACTGAGAATTGCCTTAGCTGGTGGGAACAGGAGAACCCAAAATAGAAGTGGTAAACCAACACCCAGTCAGTCTCTGATCTCCTCAAGGGCACCTTGGCACACATGCACACAGACACCAAAGGCCTTCTTCATTAAGTTAAATTTACTGTGTGTGTACATGTGTGAGTGTGCCTGTGTGTGTGTGCAGGTAGAAATCAGAGGTCAAGTTTGAAACTCACTCCTTGATTGGTGTCTTACTGGCCTGGAGCTCCCAGTTATGCTGGGATGAATAGCCAACCAGGTCTTAGCTTGCCAGCGTGAAGGTTACAGGGAGGAAGCACCACACACGGCCTTTTCTACTCAGATTTCTAGGCATAAGACTTGAGAAGCTCTTTGTTGATAGGTTATCTGCCAGCTCTGATTGTTTAATTGTTTTATTTGTCTTGTTTGTTTTGTTGTGTTTACGATAGTGGTTTTTAAATTTTTATCATTAGACAGTTTCATACATATATATACAATGAATTTTTGTCTTTCTCACCTTATTACCCTCCTTCAACTCCCGTCCATCTTTCACTGAAACAACTTCAATGGCCAGTAACTTTCCTTTTTGTTTTTCTGACTTTGTGTAAGTGAGCCACTGAGTTTAAACAGGGTTGTGTGCAGAATAGTCTCTATAGCCCAGGCTGTCCTAGAGCTCACTGATTAGACCAGGCTGTCCTGGAACTCAGTGTGTAAAGCAGGGTGTCCTGGGACTTGCTTTGAAGACAAGACTTGCATTGAAGATCACCCTGCTTTTTCATCAAGATGCCAGGGTTACAGGCATGGACCCCATTTTGGGCTACTTACTCTTATAGTGGATGAGAACTAGTACATTATAAATACAAAGACCACTTAAAGCAAAGACATATTTCAAATCAGGAATTTGTTTGGAAGGTTCCAGAAGTTGTCTGCTTTGTAAATATTCTGACGAGATGCGTTCAGTTTGATTCAACCTAGAAATTCTTTTGGGAATGAATTCTACCATCTGATATGAAGCAAAGGAAAGTATATCATCTGACTCTAATCCTGATTAAGACTTTAATTTTCATATAACCTATGATACTATAGCCTAACTAACCTATAACCATAACTAGCATGTGCTAACAATAAACCTACACAGATGCTAAAAACAAGTTTCTGAATGAGTGAATTAAGTTTTAATGAAAATTGCTGAATTTATAACATTTCCTTAAACAGAAATGATGTTCGCTTTCTCAGCGTCTCTTGTCATTTATTGCTTAGGAAAAATGATTGTTAAGATACATTCCAAAGTATGTTTCCAGTTCTTTCATTGTCATCTGTCTACCCCACTTAGACTTCACACAAGTTAACGTCAGCTTCCTTGTTAGCATAGCAAGTAAGACTTTTACCAAAGGAACACAGATAAAGTTTGTACACATTCAGATACACATTAATGTTTGTACACACACACACACACACACACACACACACACACACACACAATTATCCTTACCATTAGTTTTATTCTCAACCCAAGCATTAATATTTTTCCTCGTCTCTTCTGTAGACAGTTCGAAATCAACAGTTTGCAGCTTGGCTTGGAACAGTTTCTCAGAACATCTTAAATATTGCTGTAAAATAAAGACAATTAAAAGACAGCATAAAAATGGTACAAAGAGGGGTCTGGAGGCAGCTTGTGAGTGAAGTCCTTGCTATGCACATGTGAGGAACAGAGGTAGCATCCCCAGACCCATGTAAAAAAACAGATTCCATGCACATGACTCCAGTTCTCCTACAAGGAGATAGAGAGCAGATGCTGGGGAATCGCCAGGAGCTAGGGACTGGATAGCTCAAAATGGGTGACCGTGAACAGGAAGAGACCCTGTTTTAGAAAAGTTGAAAGAAGAATTGATACCCAAAGGTGACTTACACACACACCTGTAGCTCAGGTACTCACTCCTACAGTCACACACACATACACACACACACACACACACACATACACACGAAAGAACTTTATAGCTCAGAATGTTCTGAGGTCCTAACACAGAGACAAAAATCTGTTGATGTAGAAGCTTATAAAGAAAAAAATGTCCATGAGTACTTGTCTTTAAATCCAAAGAATTTCCAACAAAGAAAAATATCCAGTAACATTGGGATGTTTTCCCATTGTGTCATGGACTTTCTTTTACCAGTGCATTGAAATCAAAATGATGAACTTCATACAATGAGTAGTTTTTTATGCCTTCCATGAGTTTTACTCCTCAGAGTAAAGAAACAAGAGTATTATAAGGAAAATTGATGAGCATAGTGGCTAAATGACTCCTTATCACAGGAACAAATTGAAAACCACCACCCCAAACCAACATTTACCCACTACTGTGTGTGGGTCACTGTTTGGGAGAGGCAATTTTGTGAGCTTCTGTGACATTAGAAGGAAGACTCTGTAATACCAAAGTGGTTCACCCATCTCAGATGAAAAATTCTATCAGAGATGTATGACTTCTAAGACAGCTTAACAAACCAGACTGGGAAAGACAAACACATATTTGAGACTTCCTCTGAAACTTTCAATAATCCTGGTCAGATGGAGATACTAGTCATAGCAGGAAGAAGTCTTGAATTTAGATAGCGATCAAATCTAAATCTTGATATGTAGATTGAAATTTCTGTCCTGCCCAGTCCCAAAGCCATTTAGACTCGAATAAACACACAGAGGTTAATATTAATTATAAACTGTTTAGTCAATGGCTCAGACTTCTTGTAATTATTCTCTTAATTTTTAGCCCATTTCTTTTACTCTATGTATCTCCATGTAGTCTCAGCTTACCAGTGATGCCCAGGCCTCTTCCTTCATGAGCAGCTACATGGCATGTCCCTCGCAACACCTCTCTGAGTTCCTCTTCCCAGAATTCTCCTAGTCTGGTAGCCCCACCTATACTTCCTGCCTGGCTACATCCTGCCTGTGCATTGGCTAAAACAGTATTATTCCTCAACCAATAAGAGAAACATATATTCACAACATACAAAAGGACATTCCCCATCATCAATTGTCTCTGTGACTTTGGTAATTGAAATTTTCATAATCTGCCTTATAGTCTTTAGAATTACTGGAAAAAAATATCTTTGCTATAACACAATAAAAGAATGATATGAAACAATACCCGTGATGGCTCTGGGAGTTATGTAAACATTCAATGAAACTACACACTACAATGTCAGTGGGGAAGGGTTGAAACCCATTTCCAATTTTGGAGCTAGGAAAAAACATTCTAATCCTCTGATTTTTAAAGACAGAAGTTATATGTATAAATGGAAAGAAAACTCACATCTCTTGGCTCCTAGCTGAATACACTTACAACTACCTTTTTATAGTCTATCATCAAGGGCCTTTGTAAAATAATGAGAAATGGGCTTCACTTTTCTTCTCATCCATAAAAGGCAATTCTTACAAATGACTTAATTTTTTTGTTTCATCTCAGACCTTAATTCCTGCATATCTTTAGGGATTTTGTAGAGAAGGGAGTTTTCTTGTGATGTTACAGAACTCTGAGAGGGAATTTTAATTCAGCCATTTCTCAGGAACTCTAAGTTCAAATTCAACATTGTAAAGAATATCATAAGCTCTTCTCACTCCCCCTCACCCTTAAATTATGAAATCAGAGAGCACCAGGTGTGCTTACCTTGTGGAATGTTATTGCCTTTGTCCCATAGACTCTGTTAGCAATGCTGAGGGAATTCAGTTGGTTGATTTGGGATAGCAGGGCTCCAAATTCTGAATGTACCTTTCCACCTTTGCTGCACTAGAGCAGTGAACAAAAAATAAGAGAGATTGGTTTCTTGCCCCTGAAAAGCTATGAATAATGAAAGACAATATGTGCAGACCAAGATGCTTACTTTCCAATGAATAGCAGGGAACACAAAAGGATGAACTGTCCAAGCATCTTTATGTCCTCTAGCAAAATGATCTCAGCAGACTGTGTACAGAATCACTTGTACTACTTGTTGGTCCTAATGGTTTAATTCAGAAACTTAGGTTTTCAAGAATAAAAAAAAAATTCTAATGCAAGTTCTGTGGCTGCCTTTGTATTTATATTTCTATATTCAATGTTCAGTCTTCTTATTCATACATATATACATATATATGAATAGATATAGTTTGTTACTTGTATTGTATGTATTGTGGTCATATTCCCGTCCCCATTGCCATCTCTTACCCCTTTAGATTCTTGTTGATCCTTTCTTCCCAATAAGTGAACATGTCTTACTAGTTAGCCCTGACTTGAATTCATTATGTATACCAGTCTGGAATTGAACTTGCCAACAATCCCCTTGCCTCTGCCTCCTAAGTGATGAGATTACAAGTATGAACCAACACACCCAAACAATGTCTTAGTTTTTTAAATGACTATTTAAACAAATCATTCAACCTTCACTAACATTGTCTAATATATTCACTTGTTTTGTAATACAGTAGCAATTTTGCTAAGTTTGCAAATGCAAAACATGTGAATTATGGTTAAGAATTCATTGATGCCAAAAGCCAATGCATACATTTTAAACAATGGTTCCTAATAATAGGGTTTCTGAGAAGGTTTCAAGTGTGTGTGCGTGTGTGTGTGTGTGTGTGTGTGTGTGTGTGTGTGTGTGTGTTGTAGAATATTTAACTAGGCAAAAACTGTGTTACATTTGTTTATGCTGAGAAATATAACTTTAACTGTGTAAAGGTGTTATATATTTGTTGCTGCTGCATTTGTTTAGTGAAGTAAAGATGTGTTACATTAGTTTATATGTATTTGTTTAGTTAGGTATAGATGTGTTGCATTTGTTTCACTTTGCCTGCCTAAGGAATCTGAAAAGTCTAATAAAAAGCTGAGCACCCAATATCTAGGCAGGAGAGGGATAGATAGGTCTGGCAAACAGAGAGAATAAGTAGGAGGAAAAATCTAGACTCACTAAGAATGAGAGGTGAGAAACAGAGACTATAAAAGTAGGAAGGAAAAGAAGGAGATTCTTGGGGCCAGCCAGACAGCCATCAGCCAGCAGACACAGAGTGGGATATACAGAAAGAAAGCTAAAAATCCCAGAGGCTAACATGCAAATGATGAGAAACAAGTCCATGTTGGAGGTCATGGAAATATACAGCATATGGCAACTGATAATTCAGATGTCAACACACCAGAGGAGTAACTCTCCGATGGAAGTTAATCCTGTTCTCTCAAGGCCTGAAGGACCATTGACTCTGGAAGCTGTTGCTCACTTTTGTTAAAGCAGCTTAGTGCATCTCTAATACCTGCATTGTAGTATGTAATCTCATGATTGCATTTCAATCATATGGACACACATATCTGTGGATAGTCAGGAAGATTGCTTTGTATTACCGTATAATTTTGATACTTAGAAAAATACTCTTTGTCCCATGAAGACTATAGATGGTGAAAAACTGCTTTGTTCTTTTTACCCAGAATAATATCAAAAAATAACAAATTTCTCCTCAGTATAAGATAAAATGCACACAATTAATTCATTTTCCCCTCAGAGAAACTTCAAACTAGACTAAAGGCTTTTGTATATTGATCACAAGTTTAGGGCTTTACAGTTAGGATCAATGTTTGAGTCACAGGTATCTAGCCAAGGTTACTACACAAAGCACCTTAAGAAAGGCATGCCATTTCTTCCCTTGTCAAGTCTAGCTGACAAAAGTCCCATGTCTCAAAGCTTATCTCACTAGGTACTATGTTCCATCCTTCTGGTCGTAATCTTATTCCGGAAACATTGAAGCTCTATATTGCCATCCATGGTCAAGGTCTCTGCCCTTATCACTCACCCAAAGGAATGTGCTTTGACCAATGAGATGTAACTGTTGTAAATTTTTTTATTATTGTTTCAGTCTCCTAAAGAGTATTGAGGCTAGAGAAAAAGAAGCTACAAGGAATTAAAATTAGGACAGGAGAATTAGAATAGAGGAGAAAAATAAAGAGACTTGCTTGGAACAGCTTGTATGAGAGTCTGTTCATCCTTAGATAGTCAAAGTTCCCTTTGCTTGCTGTATCATTGGATCTGTAGGCTGGATCTCAAAAACCCTCACTAGGTTAAATTATAGGAGCTAGCAAGAAATTAGGCTAAAGTAGGCTGAGCATTCATAATTAAGTCCTCATGTCATGATTGGGGAGCTGGTTGGTGACCCAAAAGAAAGGCTTGGTGTGTGTGTGTGTGTGTACATTTATCTATCTATACAAGCACTATTAAAAATAATATCATGTGCACAGAGGGAGGAGTGATAAGAAAATGGGGACAAGACCAAGCTACAGAAATCCACAGAAACAGCTGACCTGAACAAGGGGGAGCTCATGGACCCCTAGACTGATAGCTGGGAAACCAGCATTGGACTGACTCAGGCCCCCTGAACATGGATCTCAGTTAGAAGGCCTGGACAGTCAAAGGGACCTCTGACAGTGGAACGAGGATGTATTCCTGGTGCACAAAAGGACTTTGGGAGCACATTCCCCATTTCCCTCAACCTAGAGGCAGGAGGGAGGGCCTAGTCCCTACCAAATGACTTGACAGATTTTGATGATCCCTCCTGGAAGGCATCACCCTCCCTGTGGAGTAGGGAGGGGATGGGAGGGTGATCAGGGGGCATGGGAGGGAGAGAGGGAAGGAGGGGGAACTGGGATTGATAACTAAAATAAGAAAAAGAAATAATAATACCATGTGAGAATTCTTTGTAAATGAGTGAATACTCCTTTGAGAATAACTAGGCATCATTTTCTCAAAGAATGTGGATGAGCTACTTCAGGGACAATATGCAACAAAGTGGCAACCATTTTTCAAAATACTCTTAGTGGACTAACAAAACTGCATGCATGAGTGAATCTGACAGAGTCAGCAGCAGACACCGGCACAGAACAGAAAAGTCTAAATGAAGATGGCAATGATCAGTTTAAATATTTGGATGGAGAGACGTCAGCATTGTTCCTATCATCACAACTCTGCAGGGGCTGTTGGGAAGATTATCAGAGGGCTCCAGGCAGAGCTGACTTTCTCATGGACCCAAGAGAGGATTCCACTGCTCTACTCCTGGTCTGTGATTTTTTTTTTTATTAAAAATTTTCAATTATTTTACATACCAACCATAGTTTTCCTCCCTCCTCTCCTCCCACCTCCCATTGCCTCCCCCCATCCACCCCTTCTCCATTTAGAAATCGGCAGGCCTCCCATGGGAGTCAACAAAGTGCACAGCATATCAAATTAAGCAGGACCGAGCGTCTCCACCTGCATCGAGACTGAGTGAGGTATCCCAGCATGGGGAATAGGTTCACAAAAGCCATGAACTATGATATTTTGGTGTGCTATGCTAAGATTACTTGATATCTCAGAAATGACATTCTCATACCTCAGAAGAGTCTTTCATCTTTGGTTTCAAGAATTCTGAAAAGTTGTCATAGTGAAGCACCTAGGAAAAGAAAAGAGATCAACTGGCCACAAAAGCAATGTGCAATCTATGAAATCCAAAAGCTCTGGGTATTCTTCTACTTCAGTTCAGGACCATTGTCAATAGATAACATCTGATAATGTTATTTCCCAAGTCCTGAGTTAAGTCTTTGGGTATCTTATTTACCCCCCACCCAACAATTTCATGAGTAAATAATATCACCTTCACTTTATGTCAGGGAAACTAAGGTCAAAATGGACAAGCACCCTTGTGCCACCAGATTATAGTTGACTGGATTCTGGGAGCTGAATTCTGTTGCTGGAGGCTAATCTGCCTTTTTTCTACTCTTGAGGCCTTTATTTAGAGCACTGCCCATAGGGAGCCCTAGAAACATGGCTTCCCAGTAAAGAAAGATAAGCAGATATCAAAAGAGATTTTTCTAGACATTCACAATAATAAAAGTATATAGATGGGAAAGACCCTGGTGGCTGGTGTCATGTGACAATTCACCATTCCTGTTTCCAGGTTGTAAAATGAAGACAACAGTCTCTATCTGCTAACAGGATTACTCTGAGGAAATTTAGTAATAAATTCTTTTTTAAATTATTTAAATTATTATGAGGGTTTTGGGTTTAAAATGTTTAGAAGGAACAAACAGTACCAAGCATATGTTCTCTATTATGTTCAAATCACCAAAATAAAACTAATTCAGAATTTATTTGCTGTATATGGAGCTGCATGTTATAATGGCTTGCATCAAACGCTATTATTTAAAACTTTCTTGCCTTTCTCAGAAATATAACTTCCTTAAGTATGCCTTTTCATTACACAAGAGATTTTTTTTAATGAGTCTAGCTGCAATTTGGCAGACAAGAGAGGGAACATGAAAAACATCTGGGTTCTGGGGATGTTCTCCTCCAATCATTACCTTTTCCATTTGTTCAGCACTCTTGCCTCTGGCGCCCAGAAGGACCATGCTTAGAGCATAAAACATAGTGAGTGGAGAAAAGAAGATGTTTTCTCCCACATTGCTACTGCTCAGCTCTTTGAATACATCAAGGCAAAATTCAGCATTTGCTGTGGTGATGGGGTTCATTTTTATGCCTAAGAATAGAGCAGAAATTATTCAGTTCTTTTGTGTTTACTTTCTATGCTTTTAGACACCCCCTTTCCTGGAATTTGTGTACCCAATGCTTATGCTCCACAAACTCAAAAAATTGTTTTCTCACAAGACTACCCACATTAACAACCTCACAAGAATAGAGTATCACCTTTCTGCACAGTTCTATAGGAGAAATTTGACCCTTGCCACAGTTTTATCCCCTTCTTGGCATTCTTCCAGGAATGTAAAGCAAAGCTAGGAAGGTAACCTAAGCTCTCCACCCAGTCAGGGTCATGTTATCAGCAAAAATGAAGGAACCAAAAAGAAAAACCTGAGAGAAGGAAAGATTACGCTGGAGAATGTGTTGCTTTAGGGAAAGAGTGTTGGGAAGGAAAGTTCTGTCCTGCAAACAAGGATAGAGAGCACTAAGAGTAGAGATCCACAGAAACAGCAATCAGGGAGAGGTAGTTCCCAGCCACGGGGAGACTTTATTCTTCACAAGGCTGGGTCCCGACAAACACTTCTTTGATGGGAGATGTCATTCTGTAAATATGTTTCTCATACTGGATAATGAATAAAGCACTGATGGCCAATAGGAAAGGAAAGTAGGAGGTTCGAGGAGACAAGGAGAAAGAGGAAGTAGTAAGGAGGAGCCAAGATGGAGAGACTGGGGAGAGCAGAACCGCCGGCCCCACTCCCACGTGGAAATACATAGATTAACAGAAATTGGCTAATACTTAAGACAGAGCTAGCCAATAAGAAACAAGTAACTGGCCAACAGCATTATATCAAATACAGGGTCTCAGTGTGTTAATTGGGGCTGGCATGGCGGCAGGACAAGACCAGCAGCGGGCGGAAAAAAACTTACTCTTTACACTTCTTTGCTTTGTCTGCTGGGAATCCCTCTACCCACTCTGTCTCACATTCAGATCTTTCTCCATTGGTAATCTCAGTTCATCACAATTCACCAGAATTCAGATCTGAGTCTTATTTGCCTTTACACTTACACCTCAAGTGACCTTGTCTCATGTCATGTTCAAACTTCAGTGACACACTGTTAGGGCTTTGTTATAGTTTGAATATAAAAAATGTGCCTCCATGGACTCGTGAACTAAACAGACAGTCTCAAGCTGATAGAACTTCCATGAGACATTCTGGAAATGCTAGGTAGGACCTGTCTGGAGGAACTACGTCACTAAGTGCATGGTCTTCCAGCTATTCATTCCCTCTCCCTAACCATCTTCTTTACCTTCCTCCTTTCTTCCATCTATAATTTGACCTGTTCTACCATTCCTTCATCACATTAGACTGAGCTTTTTGAAATTGAGCCAAATGAAACTTTCTTATGTTTGTTTTCCCTGAAATGGTTACAGCAAAAACAAACCCGACTGTTGAATTTAGGCTGCCCCTCCATTCTAGACCCATATAACTGACAGCACACTAAGCATCTCCACTTGGATGCCTGATGGATCCTTCAAACTTGTCAGGATGTAAAGACAACCCTTGGTTCTTCACTCTTCTACTTTGCCTTCTCCTTCATTTCTGTAACTCTTGATTCCACTGCTTTATCTTTCAGGCTAATAATCTTTAATACTTTCTCATTCTTATTTGCCCTCAGTCGATGAAAATATCTTCTTTCCTCTACTTTTAAAAATGCTGTAAGTCACCATCTCTGGTTTTACCACTTTGGTCAAAGGTTCCATCCTCCTCCCCTGCAATTCTAACACACATTCCACACCTGGCTGACTTCTTCATTCTTTCTGTCCTTGGTGGTGTGTTCTACAGAAGCAAGAGTGATGTAGCTTCAAGGTCAGATGCTCATGTTGCGCTGTACTCAGCATCCTCAGAAACTTGCTGTTCTCAGAGAAGCCAAAGCCTCACCATAAACAGCAAGGCTCTCTGGCCTGGCCCTGGCCATCTGAGACCTCATCATTGCCATACTGTACTGACTCTCACTACTTAAACACTCCAATCCATCTGATATGCTACTACATGGTGTATCCCTCTTCTGAGATGTTCTTTCTGTCAGTACTCAAATGGCTCACTGTGATGGTTCATTTCCTCCTCTCTTCAGGAAGGCACCTTATTAATAAGCCTTTCCCTAATGATTCCCTTTGAAAACTCAGCCCACACACCCACATTGCATCTCTCCAATTTATTTTTTTTCTAGAACATACCTTATCTGACTCACTACATATGCATTTTAAAATCTGATATACTCCCTAGAATACTTTTTGTTTTCACAGATGGACATATAGAAGCCCCTTCATAAGCATCTGTGAAAGAAATGAAGAGTAGGGTTTTAATCTGGCAAGTATAGCAATATGCAGGTATGCACAGAATTCAATGCGATTTCAGGGGAGGGACACAGATCTACCCAGAGAGGTACAGCCCCTCCTGTTTCTTGAACAATGAAATTATAGTCTTCATGGAAGGTGCATATAGGAAGGACATTCCTGAGAAAAGCAACAAGTGAAAAGAGACTACCACATCTGGAAGAGAAATGTATGTATCAAGAAAATAAAACAGAAGGACAAAAGTTGTGGACAGTGGGGACAGAGACAAGTAAGAGAGTGTCTTTGGAGGCCAGGCCATCCATTTAGTGTTCACCATCTCTATGGCCTTCCTATCCACCCTTTACTGTTTCTTCTGAAATCTTCTGACTCTTTCCCCTTCTCTCCCACTTTCCAGACATCGTGTTTGTAAATGCTGATTACCCACCAATCAGCAAGAGGTCTGGTTGTGATGCAAATTCCCTGTGTGCTTAAGAGGAGGCTTTCTGCTCCTTGGTCCCAAGAAGAAACTCCTAATTGCCTAAACCAATTAAGATAATTCTTCATTCCATGTCAGTGAGTGTCTTGACTTCTGGAATCCTTGATGAGGAAAACTTTTCTGTGGAAAGAGTTAAGAAGATACTCATAGGAGAGCCTGCTTCCTTTCAGAGCTTGCTGTCTACTTGTGGCTACCACTGAGGTAAGTAGTCAGAGGAAAGTCAGCATGCCAGAGGAGAAAGATGGGGAAATCTGAATCCTTAATGACTCACCATTGAGTGGGTGGATATACAGCCTTGCATCTACACTGCTTTGGGATTTCTTGTCATGTCGTATGAAATCTTTTTCTTGCTATTTAAATGAGAAGTTTTAGTTGAGTCTTCTGTTACTTGCAGCTAAAAGTATCACCACTTACTTTAGGAACCTCATTATGCCCACTGCTCCACTAAACACCAACAGGAACATATACAAACACTCACACTTTTCTGATGCAGCTACATATTTTAGTTAGTCTCTCACAGATCTGAACTATTTTATCCTTTTACCTCTCATCTCCAAAATATGTTCTCACATGGTTTTAGAATCTTAGTCTGAACACATGTTCCCAAGACAATATGGCAGACCAGCTATATTCCTCCCTACTTCTGTGCATTTACTATAGTTACTAACGTATGTTTTCAGCCATGCCCACTTGACCTGAGCTCACCAGAGGTGGATTCTCTGGGGTGTGACCTTGTGTGTCACTGATCTAGGAATGTATGTCATGCTCCCCTTCAGAATGCCATGCTTTGTGTCCTGACTGACATGAAGAGCTAAGAGCACATGGTCCTCAGACCTGAGAGAGGGAGGAGAGCATGTGACTCAACCATCGTCAGGCAACAAAGGAGCAAAAGAAAATGTGTCACTTGTGGACTTTCAAAACAAATAGATGTGGCATTTACATGGTGCCAGTGTTGATCACACGTTCCTGCAATTAAAACCGGTGGCTCTAACCTTATTCATATGCAGTAGATTCTATTCTTATTAGCTGTTAGGCCGCCCATCACAATCCACTAGAGACAGGCATGAGCTAGACAAGTCTTAGCTTTTGATTTAAAAAAAAAAAAATCACAAGGGTTTTGCTGATCTCATCCACTGACATGACAGTCTATGTCTTTACCAAGATGCTATCCTTCAACTTAATTTAAATCAGCACTTTTTAATAGCTGTAATAATTAGTGTCTTTGGAAAACATTTATTTGGTAATCTGAATAATAATAAATGTCCAACCAGTAATAAGGTATATCCAAGCAGGTCTTTCTTCACACTATATTCTGCATTGAAGAGGGTGGAGTTATCAAGTGAAGGATGTAATTTCAGATTTACAAGTAAATGGAATTTTTTCAATTTATGTTATGTTTTTAATTATAAAGTAGTCATTGAAACATACAATTACTGAAGCTTCTTTAAAAAATACTTTAGAATGTACAGTAGAGTCACTATGTTCTGCCCCTCTTAAATTCTGACTGTTTCTCTCTTTATAATCCTGACTAGAAAGGCTCATAAATCCCACTCCCAGCCTCTTGGAGTGAGTCATCATGCACTGCACAGGCCGCCCTCTTCCTCCCTCGCCACTTTAAGCCTAATTCATTCCCTTTACCCTCCACTCTTGGATCACACTTTTAATTTCTTTAGAGAATATCCCCTCTTTGTACGTATTCTGGTAAAATATTGATTTGGTTTCTCATATACTCTTTAGCTTTCATAAATGAGCTTCTTGTTAAGCCATCTGTTCTTCATTTAGTACTATATGCTTAAGATGCATCCATGTTGCTCCATCATTCCTGTCTGATGAATTCTTGTATTCACATCATGTCAGCCTCAGAGACTGACCCTTGACTGGCCTCCTGCATCACACCATCACAGGCAGTCCGTAGAGAACATCTTCATATGCACTGTTTACATACCTACACTAGCATGCCCTTGAGAAGTAGGTAATTGGATCACAGAGTCCATGTGCAAACCTAGTACTGGATGTGCCATGCTCAGAACCTTCGGACTTGAAGGATGTGTTTTGCTTCTACAGTTCTATAACAGAGGGATTTGGAGCTTGAGAGATCACACTGTTAGGATTGGAACTGGGGTCCACCTCTCCTGAACTGCATGCTTCTCCCACTTCCTGCCACATGCTATTAAATAACATCAAAAACATTGACAGCTAACATCAATAAATAAGAGTTAATAAAC